GCTTACTTCCATTTCGAGTGAATGTGTTGGGTGAAGAGATTCGAAGGTGCATTCCTCTTGACCAGCTGTCGATTGGCTTTACTGGAACATTCATGTTGACGCTGTTTCCGAGGCAATCTTCTTCGATTTCGGTGAAAAGGTGTTAAGCTTTCGTCCGTTACATGATGAACATCATCAGACGAAGGTATTATCGTCACAACAAAATTGAAGCTAACGAGTCAAGAAAACACACCGGCAAATCCCTAAAAAGTGGTACATATACTCTACACCTAGCCTCTTTGATAAACAAATCACTCTATACTTGATAAAAGAGACCAATTGTAGAGTATATATACCACTTTTTAGGGATTTCCCGGTGGTTTTCTTGACTCGTTAGCTTCAATTTTGTTGTGACGATGTTGCCTCGCTCTGATGATGTCCGTCATGCAACGGACGAAAGCTTATCACCTTTTCACCGAAATCGAAGCAGATTGCCTCGGAAACAGCGTCAGCATGAATCTTCCAAGAAAAATCCGCCGTCGTCTTCCGGTGGAGCCGACCTTCCAATCTCTTCACCGCACACTTTCACTCGAAATGGAAGTAAGCTGAACAATTATGAAATAAGAGATTCCACGAAACCCAACTTTTCTTCACCGGCCTATCCCCATAAGCTGTACTAACATCCTTGGCTAGTCATATTTCAACCTAGAAACATGCGTGTGTGTATGTGTGTGTGTGTGTGCATACCTGCTTGTGGTTGTGTGTATGTCTATACGTCTTTCTGTGTACGCGTGTGTAGGAAAGCAGCAGCGATGGCTGAAGGCCAACACAACAAAGCCTCCTCGACACTCGATCTCGATCTTGGATCAACCCACGAGCATGTCTTTTTAGGGTACAGCCTTCGCTCGAAGTGCATACGAACCCAACCAGACACGCCTCCAAGTCCAACCTCTCTCGGCATACACTCACTCTCGACGCTGCTTCTGCCAACTCACCAAAGCTGTGGTCGTACCAATCGAGGCGGCACGAGTGAACACAACACGACTGTGCTCATCTCGACAGCAGGTCCGGAACCCTGGCGTCAGCAGCCACTGGAAGCACTCTTGACAGGATCCTCGATGCGTGGCCTTGAGACGGTGTTCAGCGAATCAGATCCGGGGTTGAGCAGAAAATCAATGGCAAAGTGAAAATCAGATCAACCTAAACACCGGCAAATTGTGAGCATGGAGCCGAGGTGTGTGTGCACACTGGACACTTGTCGCCCTGTCTGTACCGTCTACACGGCGGACCGGGTAATATCAGCAGAATATACACACATACACGAATACACACGGCACAGCTAAGGCCTGCTCAAGGGATCCACCCAATACTGTACGGGTGCTGTGTGATGCATACATGGTGTGCACACACCAAAATGGTCATTTTTCCAGGGCGCCAGGGTGTCCGAAGAGCCGAAATGTAGAAGATCCGAAGATACAAAGCTACGTAGATACAAAAATACGAAACACCGAAGATTC